GTTCATACAGCCAGCAATATTTAAAGCACGAAGACTTTATTTACAGTTTTATTTTAATATAATAATCAGATCCAATGGACCTAACATAAGATGAATTTATGTTCATTTTACCAACCAGCGTTCTCATCAATCATATATATTTGGGAGGGGGCATGTAAACATTATTGCCTAAAGTACCTTATATACATCTGATAGTTGTTCATAACAAAAGACTTTAACAATCGAGACAGGTAAAGCTGATAAAGGGGCACCCATATTTTGGTCTATTTTATTTAGCCTTAAATTATATATTAGTATTTTTTAAAATGTAAACTCAGTGAATAAAAGAGCTGGGATAGTCGATATTTTACATAAGTAGTCTCATCTCTTTCTTTTAAAAACACAAAAAGCCAAGCTTTAGATCACTGCTATTTCATTGGGAAGTTCTCTAAGAATTTATGAGAATATTTCAATAGACACCAGGAGATTTGAGATACTGTTTACCCCCTGGAAATCTTTTCCATCTGATGAAAATAATATCTCCCAGAAAATGAATTTTCAAATGTTTACTGAAAGTCTATTTTTAGGAAATGGAATTTTTAAATCCAGTGTCTTTAAAGTAACCCAAACATGTTAAGATACAGATTTGAAATAAACCACAAAAAATAGTGCAGGTCTGTATATATGGATATGTGTGTATCTTTTACAATGTACTTATTTAAGAGCCAGGGCATATATATGTATGTATGTTTGCATACACATATATGTATATACACACATACACACGTAGGCAGCATACCTACATTTAAACACATACACACATACCCACTTCGCTGGGCCTAAACATGCACTAGCAAGTTATTTTAGGGCTTCAACTCTTCAGAAAATCTCATTATGTGAGAAGCGAAGTGGCTCTGCGGGGAGCATTATGGAAATATCTGGCCTTGATTTAATGAGGCTGTTCACATTGGTGGAATATCAACTTAACAGAGAAAAGTCTACCCAGGGCGTCCAAGTTACCAAAATGAAAATTGGCAATTGAGATGATAAGAACGTGGCTTTCTTCTGCGAGATCACTTCAGGTAACAGAGATAACATTAAATAACATACATTCTATGCACCAAGAACAATGTTTTATGTACCGAGTCTCTTATCCGTCTCTCCTAATGACTTCCCTTAGCGGGTTGTTAGTACTTGACAGCAGGTCTCCGTGCGGGGAACTTTTCTCCAATTCCACATTCAAAGGAGGTCCATCAGAGAGCATGATTGGCAATTTTCGTCATAATCTGCACATTATTAGCATCAAAATTGACGTGGCAGTTAACACTGGTGGGTTTTGATGTACCTTTCTTCAAGTTCAAGGAAACCCCTCCTGTACTCGGGGTTGGCAGAGCGGGTCTCAGCAACCCAGCGGTGGCTGCGCAGAGGCGGCGCAATAGACATGCGTGAGAAAGAAAGCCAAGAACCATTCCAGCTGAAGAGAAGGAAAGCAGGGGCAAAGGGGCCGAGGGGAGCCGAGGGTTCGAACCTAGACCCATCTAGAGATTCAAGTATTTCCCAGATTGGAGGGACCCGGCAGCTAGGGGACCCGCACCGCCAACAGCTCTCCCAACGAGGCAGCGATCTGCCAGTCTTGCACCACCACCACCCCACCCTCCTGTCCCTTCCTACGGCTTCCTGTCCTCCCTTCCTCGACCAGGCAGAGGCCACCTCCTGAGCCAAAACTTTTTACATAAAACATGCAAGACGCTTCCTTTTCTTGAGCACTGAAACCGAAGACCCGAAAGAGAACCGCGGTGGGAGCGAGGTGGAGGCGGCGTGACCGCCACCCCTTCCCACCTCGGCTTTGTCCTTCCCGGGGAGGGCGGCCACAGCCCCGCCGGCCTCGCCCGCGCCGGCTGCCGCAGTAATCCACCTCGGGCCCACGCCTCGGCCGCTGGGCCTGCTCCTCAGACCTCCGCTCCCCTCCCTCGACAGGGCCCCCCACAAGCTGAGCCTGACCGAAAATCCACCACCTCTTCCCACTGCCGTCTAAGCCCTGCGCACTTGGCCCGAGCCCTGCGCTCCCCGCTCCCTTTGTTGTGGTTCTCCATTGCTGGTGGCGGCGCGTGACTCTGCCAGCCTTGTGGCTCCAAACCCTGGGAGGGCTGTTTTCGGGGGGCGCAGGAGGATTGTCTTCGGGGAGACCAAGAGCTCAGGACAAAGTGGGGGGGGAAGCAGGGCCTGGGCGAACAGAAACACACTCGGAAGACGGAGGGCATGGGTGGGGGGAATAGCTGGGTGGCAAATACAAAAATAGACATCATTTGAGGGGGGACGCCCGCCAGGCCTCCGTGCTGGTTCTTCCCTCCCTCCTCGCCCCTGCCCCCCGACTCGGGGCAGGTTCCTCCCGCGCCCCGGGGCGCCCCCTGGCGGCAGCGGTCGCAGCGGGCAGCGCCCCGAGGGCCCAGGGGCCGTCGGGGGGGGGGACGCTCGTGTCCCCGCAGAGCGCCAGGCGCGGCCCCTGGCGGCAGCGACGTAGTTATCTGGTGAGCGGCGCCTCGTCCCTCTGGTCCGGTGGGCTCACGGCCGTCTTGCTCAGCACGGCGGCCGAGTAGGGCAGGAAGCCGCTCTCGGAGCGCGGCGCCGCGGCGCTGCAGCCGAAGTCCGAGGCCCCCGCGGCCCCCGAGCCGCCGCCGCCGCCCCCGGCCCCGCCGCCCCCAGCCCCGCCGCCGCCGCCACCCCGGGAGCCCAGGGCTGCGGCGGCGGCGGCGGCTGCGGCGGCGGCGGCCGACTGACTGCTGTGGCAACTGAGGCACGAGCAGGGCGCGGAGCCGCCGCTGGGGGGCGCCCCGGCCGCGGCCGCCGAGGAGGCCGCCGCCGCCGCCGCAGCCGCCGCCGCCGCCGCCGAGGCCGCGCTGTTGAGCCCCGCGGCCGCCGCCGGGGCCTGGTAGAGACCCGGGTGGCGGAAACTGCACAGCAGCTCGGGCCGCGAGTAGGGGTGCGACAGGGCGCGGAAGGTGTCCAGCGGGCGGATGGAGGTGGCGAAGGGCGACGAGGCGGCGGCCGCGGCTCCCGAGGCGGCGGCGGCGGCCGCGGCGGCCGTGACGCCCACGTGCGGGTAGTAGTGCAGCGGCACGTGAGAGTGGAAGGGGTAGGGCAGGCTTCCGGTGGCGGCCGCGTGCGTCATCATGTAGGTGTAGAAGCTGGGGTCCGCCGGGTGCGGCCACGACATGGCCAGGCGCTGCCGCTTGTCCTTCATGCGCCGATTCTGGAACCACACCTGTGGGGAGAGAGTCGCGCCGCGGCTCGGGTTAGGGAGCGCCGCGTCGGCTGGGCCTCCCTTCCCAGGCCTCCGCGGACAGGCCTTGGCCTGCTGCTCCTGCGGGGCCCAGGCCTGCAGCGTGCCAGACCCCCGGACGGCAGCCTGCCAGTCCCCGGACGGTGCCCAGGCCCGCAGCGTGCCAGACCCCGGACGCTGCCCAGGCCCGCACCGTGCTAGACCCCCGAACGGTGCCCAGGTCCGCAGCCTGCCAGTCCCCGAACGGTGCCCAGGCCCGCAGCGTGCTAGACCCCCGGACGGTGCCCAGGCCCGCAGCGTGCCAGGCCCCCGGACGGCAGCGTGCCAGTCCCCGGACGGTGCCCAGGCCCGCAGCGTGCCAGACCCCCGGACGGTGCCCAGGCCCGCAAGCGTGCCAGTCCCCGGGCGCTGCCCAGGCCCGCAGCGTGCTAGACCCCCGGACGGTGCCCAAGCCCACAGCACGCCGGCCGCCGCGGGAGCCCCGTCTGCCACCCCGCGCCAGGCCGCGGCTCCCGGGCGTTGGGACGCGGCCCGGCTTCTCCCACCCGCCACGGCCCGGCCCCGCCGCGCTCCCCTCACTCTCTCAATCCCAGGATTTGCGTGGGGATTCGGGGCCGCGTTAGAGAGGAGGCCCCGGCGCGTGGCAACTCTGAGAGGGGGCCGAGCGAGGTCTTGGGCCCTCCAGGCCGTTAGCACCTGCCCCTAGGGGCACGGGTCCGATTTTGATTTTGCCGGGGGATGATTTTGCGGAAATCGTTTTTTTTTTCCTTTTTCCCTTTCACAGTAAAGGGAGAGAGCCATGTTCCCTGATCCTAGAAAGGGCGGCTTTTCCACCCCTCCCGACACTGCATCTAATGGAGACATCATTTTGCGAAACCTTAAAGCAGTGAGCCCAGTCACGCTGCAGGGAGAGCACGCCAGCCCGCCAGCCCCTCTGCGCAGTGTTCCCATCCGAGGTTCCCCGGTCGTCCAACCTCCCGCTATCTCCTCCCGGACGGAAAGTAACATTAACAATCCAAAGCTACGTACAAAGAGGCCCGATTTCGTTGAGTTGCCCCCTCCAGAAGGGTTACCCTTTACCCAAGAAAAAAAAAAGGGTTACCCTTTACCCAAGGGGGAAAAAAAAGTCTCTGAAACTACTTTCTCAATTTTTTTAATTGTATTATTCAATTATTTTTCTCCGTATCGTGATAATTTCTGTGGAAAAGAAACCTTCACGATCAAGAGTAAATGAAGTTTCACCTCCGCTTCGCGCTGGAGGAACAAAGAACAGTGAATTTAGCAGCTTAGAGTAGGCGCTGCGGGGGCGAGCTAGGGGGCACTTGGGCGGGATCCCGCACACACCGCGATCCGTTTCCCGCACACGCGCCGCTTTTCAGGTGTGTGTGGGGGGGGGAGCGCCTTTTTAGGTCAGGCAGACCGACCGGCCAACTGCTGGGACTCGGAACCAGAAATACAGAAGCCAACTCTTCCAGTGTCTGCTGCGCGCGGATTTTCAGACCCTCAGCTAACTCTGGTTATCCAGAGAGGTGAAATGGAGGGCAAAGCCATCTTCCCTGGACGCCACCCCGGGGGGGCGGGGGGCAGGTCCGAGCAGGCACGCGTCGGAATCCTTACCTTGATGGTGGTTTCGGGCAGGTTGAGCGCCGCGGCCAGCTCGCACCGGCGGGGCCGTGACACGTAGTTCTCCCGGTAGAACTCCTTCTCCAGGCGCGCGATCTGCTCGCGGGTGAACGCCGTGCGGTAGCGCCGCACCTGATCCGCACCGGAGCCGGAGCCCCCCAGCGCTGCGCCCCCGCCGCTGCCGCCGCCGCCTCCATGAAGGCTGCCCAGGCCCGAGCCGGACGCCGAAGTCGTGGTGCCAGCTGTCGCGCCACTCTCCGCGTAGCCTGGCAAAGGAACAGTGGAAAGTGCCTGAGTGGCTCTAGGGACTCAGAGCCCTGCGCTCGGGGTGTGCGGGGACCGGGAAACGGTATCAGAAAGGAGATCGCTGATGGAATTGATGAGGGTCTGTCAAGAATTGCTGTCCTTAATGAAATCAATAAAGTTTGGGGAACCCTCTCGTAACCAAATAACAGGAACTGAATTATGGAAGGTGTAGTGGTTTTTAACTATTCGAAAATTTCAATTCAGCTAGGGAAAAATTCCTACCTCAGGGCACAGTAGCTCGGGGTTCTTTCTGGCCTCTAACCTTTTTAAGGGGGGGCTGGCTACTATTTTAAGATGGGAAACGCAGCAGCAGCTCAACCCAGAGCTGTTGGTGAAATCTACGATTCAACGCTCTCTCGTTGGACCCAGGGTATGACAGAGGTGCGCCTGGCGAGGCACTCTTATGCCGAAGAATGCCCCCTCCGTCTGACCTCGGGGACTCGGAGGCAGCGCAGTTCGGAACAGCCGCCTGCCGACTCTTTCCCTGGAGAGACTCGGCCAGCCGCTGACTGTCGGCTTGCTTCGGGGCGTTAGACCCTAGCGCACAAGCATTTCTGGACTGGGGAGCCCGAGCCGGCAGGCCTGGCGCCCTCGGCTCCCCAGGCCCCAGCCACGCTGGGAAGTACAAGATGCAGAACCCGAGGGCACAGGCCCCGCTAAGGAGACCCGACCCGGCCTGAGCCTTACTCTGCCGCGGCTTGCTTGCAAAGGGTCCGAGGGGTGCAAGGGAACCGGGAAGGGCTGGCGGGGAGGAGAGGACGCGGAGCTCTGGAGAGATATGGGACTGGGGAGCGCGAAGCGGGCGCCGCCGTTACCTTTGCCATTGTTTTCCTTCAGCGGAGCGGCGCCGAGGCCACCGGGGGAGCGCAGCGCTGAGCAACCCACCTCCACGTCGCTGCTCATGTCGGCCTCGGCGGCCGCCTCCGAATAATGGCTCGGCTTCTTGCGGTTGTCAGCGGCGGCGGAGGCGATTTCGGAGGAGACGGTGCTTTCGCTGCCCGGGTGCTGCAGGTTGAAGAGAGTGTCTATTTCGAATTTGCCTTTGGTGGGGAGGTCTCCCAGAGTGCCGTGCAGGGGGGCAGACGGCAAGCGCGGGCTGAGACGAGCCGGGTGCTGCGAATTTTCCAGGGCCTCAAGCACAGCACTGCCAGTAGAGTCGGACAAATTGGAGAATCTCTTGCCGGCCGTGGGGCTGTGCAGCCCTCTCTCCATCAGGATCATCTCTTTTCTTATTCTTTCCATCATCTCAGCTTTCTTTAAAAAAAAAAAAAAAGTCACAGTAGCCCGGCTGTCCCGTCCTAATGATGGGGCTGCACCGAGGGCTAATTCTCATTCAGTCCCAGCGAGCATCTCTAAATATTATTATCTCTTTTGGAGGTTGGCGGAAACAAAAAAATGTGGGATGCCAGAGCAAGGGAATGACTGGTCAAAATGACCCATACATCCTTCCGAGCCCAAGATGTCATTCATCAAAAAGTAGCGCCCGCTCGTCATTAAGGTACGAATGACGCCGTTCGAATAATCATTTATTGTAACAGGTTTATAAGCAAATAAATACACGCTCCTGTCAGTGGGTAATGAAGGCGGCTTCAGAGCAGACAAATAGATCCAGGTAGGAGGCGAGAAGACAGGAGAAGTGAGGAAGACGGCTCCGGTCCCTCGCCCGCTCCGAGCCAGCTCTGCTCGCCCGGGGGTTTGGCCTCGGGGGTGAAATTGACAGTCTGATTAATAGAGCGCACCGCGGTACATTTCCCCGTTCATTTAGGGGCATCATTACGCTCTCAGTTTGCTGGGCTGCCCCTTAGGTCCTAATCATGCAGCTCCTTCCTCATTTTTCCTCGGACACAGATACGTGTTAAATAATAGATAATGCTTTGCTTTTCCAGAGTAGATCCTCGCGATGGACTTAAAAAAAAAAAAAAAACATTTACAAGCTGGGGACGTTAGGGGGGCGGGGGGGGGATGCAGGAAGTGTTGCGTAAGGAGACCTCGCGCTGCTCCTGCCTGGATCAGTTATCTTTCGGTTTTCAGAACCAAATATGTATTTTAGTTAACAAATAGGACGCTGAGTCTTCCCCCTCCCCACTTCTTCGCCTCGATGCTCAGAGAGAGAGAGAGAGAGAGAGAGAGAGAGAGAGAGAGAGAGAGAGAGAGAGAGAGGAGAGAATATGAATCTGGTATCTCAGAGTTTTGAAAGCTCTTTCTTGCTACGTGGCTGGGGAGGTGCGTTGGCCCCACGCCTCCAAACGGAAGTCATTAGGTCCTCTCCAATTTTCTAGATCCGTTTACAGAGTGAGTTCTGAAATCCCCCCCGTTTTATTTTATTTTTGTTGTTTGCTTTTTTTCCCCTTTTTTCACTTTTATAATCCTGCTAATGGATAGGCTTCTCGCTTACGCGTTTTCCCTGGGTGTGTGTGTATGGGGGGGGGAGGGAAGCCCTGGGTCGGAGAATCGCGGAATTCGACAGCGAACTTTAAACACACTCCCAATTTACAGCGCCCCACGGGCCGCTCCCAATCCACTTGGTACATCTCTAGCGCTCGTCCACTCCCACCCCACACCCCGGAGAATTATCTGCGGCAAAGTAGCCAGATTGGAGGTCAAAGAGCAGGGGAGAGGTGGAGACTCGCCCTTCTTCCCTTGCCACCCGCTGCCTTGCTTGCCCACAGTTGCTTTTCGCGCTTCCCCAGCCTCGACTCCTCGACCCCGGCTCCTTACCTGTGGCCCCGGCTATTCCCGACGCTGAGTCCGGGCGCAGAGAGGCGCCGACTGGCCTGGCTGCAGCTCCGCACGGCCTGAGCTGGGCGGCTGAGCCTCTTAGCGATAACTTTGATAGTCATAATGACGCCGGTGGCAACCATTTTAACGAAGATCAATCTTCAGTCAAGGCCGTTCCTCATCTCGTGCGCCTGCGCCCCACCCTGCCCAGAGCCCCGAAGCGCGGTGCCGGTCCGCGCACCAGCAGCCCCAGAGGGAGAGATCTGCAGACGCGGAGGAGAGTGGGACGGAACGCGGAGCGTGGGAGAGACCCTGGCCGCATGGGCTCCAGGCGCGTGTCCCGCATCCCGCCACTGCACCAAGCCAGACCCCCAACAGGCCCCCTCCTTCCTTCACTCCCGTCCTTCCAGTCACAGCCAGCACATTGGGGTGTATTAGGGGCAAATGTAGCATCTCTTTGCACATCTGTCTGTTGGCGCTTTCCTTTTAACCTTGGGCCCGTTGGGGGTGCGTCAGGAACGTAAGGGAAGGCGAGGTGTGAAGTATATGTTTATACATAGATACACATATATAGTCAATGCCAAAAGTTTCTCTCCTGTTCCCCTCGGCGCTAACTTATTTCAACAACGAGAGCTTTGCTCAGAAAATCAATTCCACCTCTTTAAGGCAATAAATAGAATGCTCCTCCACAGGCGCGCAGCTGCTGGGGTCGAGGGGCAGGGGACGGGATTAGGGGTGGTGGGGAGAGTCGCGGCACCAGGACAGGACTTGACTCTACTCCTGCTCCAAGGGCCACCCAGTCCAGAGCTCTCTCTTCTCACGCCCTTACAGTGGTGGAACCCCAGCCCTGCCGGCGCCTCCACCTGCTCGCACTCAGCTCCACCCAGTTTCGCCACTCCTGGTGGTCACTGCTCCCGTGATGCGAAAAGGATTCCCCCACCACCACCACCCCGCCCCCGCTCCAGCCATGCCCCTTTCGCTCCCGGAACTGAACCGGGAACCTTGTCCAGGCGCTGGTCCCAGGAGCCCGAGGCCCTTAGCAGGGGTGGGAGGCGAGCCGGGGCGCTACCTTGGGCGGAAATCCGCGGATGCCTTTATTGCTGTCGTTTGGCGCCCCCATCTGTTCCTCTCGCGGTTCAGGCGGCCGCGAGCGATCTTTGAGTTGCTGATGCGGCTGCCTTGGCCTAGGATACCGAAGGCCACCCCTTGCTCTACCACCCAAACCGCAGGTCTCCTACTTGGCCCTCTGGGATCTGGTGCCTCAGGTCGCAAAGGCTGCGGCACCACGCCGGACCTCGTCTGCTTGAAAAAGGAAACTATCTCTCAAAGATTCTTCATGGAGGAGTGATTTTGAGAACTTTTTAAAGTAACATTAGTATTGCATTTCTAGCACGTTGATTGCAAGAAGCACATTCGAGACCACGTCAGGGAGACTGAACGCAGTAAGACACCTATAATTTTTCCTTCAACCGCGTTTAGCTGACAATAATGTTTCACGAGGCCCAGTGAACATTCCATTGCAATATGTAATGTCCCTTCGTTTATTTGGCTTCCACACCTACTCGCCGCCGCAGCACTGTTTGCTAACGCCCGTGCAATGCGGTTGCAAGCACTGTTAAAAGCTATCAGGGCAACTCAGCCCCGTCCTTTTCAGAGACTTCGGCCACTGAGGTTCAGGCACTTGCGATTTAAAGTTGTCTCTGCTGCTGTCCTAAGGCAGTGCCATTTGGGGGGAGCTCTTCTTGCTGGGGGTGAATGCAGACCTACCTGGCAAATGAGAAGCCTGGGTTGACAAGGGTGAGAAAATGGCGAAAGTTCTGTCAGTGTTTATTGCAGAAACACCCGGATTTCGCAGCCTCTGCCGGAACGTGGAAGCTGAACTTGGGCAAGGCCTGTCCAATGTCCCCAGTGTTTTCACGCATCCTCCAGAGCGCTCAAGGCCTCGCACTCACTATCTCTTGCACAAGGGCCACGTAATAAAGCCAAACATGAATCCTACACACGTCCTTGTGTCCTGCAGGAACGTTTTAGGAAGAAAGGAGAGGGGCACAGTTACGATTTTGTCCACTGGAAATGAGGGGTGGGGAAGCGCTTTTTGCTCCTGAAGAAGAGCAATATAAAAGAGGCCTACTTTTTTCTTGGTCAGGCCTGCAGACTAAATATTTGTTTCTCCAGCGGCGGAGAGTCCTCCGAGGTAAAGTGCTAAACCCTTTGGCCTCACTCAGAGTGCAGGTAATAAAAGTCTGTCCCGGCCCGAGGCGGAGGGCTCTGGGAACGCCGCAGCGAAAGCCCCTCGGCCGCCCGCCTCAGTTTAGATTTTTTTCGGTCGCCGCAGAGCCCAGGACAACAGGGTCATCACCGCGAGTGCCTGCAGCCGGATGCACGCTCCCAATCTGCCGGGGCACGCGGAGTGGGAAGCACCTCCGGAGCCTGAGCTGCCAGTCCCGGGCGCGGGGGCTGTAGGCTGGGCGCGACGCGCACCCGCCGCGGAAACTTTCGGTTTAGAAGAGAAGCAGCAGCTTTGGGGGCTCCAGGCCTGGAGGCACAGTAGCGTTGCACGCGCCCCCTCCTTGGGCATCCGGTCCTCCCCCTGCCTCCCCTGTGCCTCTGCTTGGTTCTGTCTCTCCTTGCTTCGCCATCCTGCGTCCCACCGGGGACGTGCTCGGGTGAGGGGCAGGTTAGGTAGGTGCTTCCGCGCTGCACTCCGCTGGCTGAGCGGACCCGCCTTCTCCCTGAAGCTCGACTGTGGCTCACACGCGACCGGAAAACTTGCAGGGACATCTAGCGCCGGGCGCGGGGAACTGCGCTCCTCCGGGCACGGCAGAGCGCGACCGCGCGCAGTCTCCTGCCTGGCTCTCAACACCCTCTGCGCTAGGCACTTCACTACCCTTCATCCTCTTCCTGGTCAGCACCGCTCGCATTCCCCCACCCAAACAGCAGCAGACTCGGAAGAATGGAGACGGGTAGACGGCCTTGGTTTCTGTTCTCTCCAACAGCCGGCAGAATGAACATTTTCCTGGACCTTAGCTTTCAAAATAGTTTAGTGAAAGAAGTGCGTTTGGAAGACAACCTGGAGAGGTCGGACGAAACGGTAGCAAATTGCAGTCCCAGATTTTATTTACCTAAAAAGAAAACAAATTACCCGGGTCCTCTGGCCCTACCCATTCACCTTCAACATACACACACCCGTAGCCATGAGTGCCACTCTTTACAGGAATTCGCTGGTGGTTTGATTCCCGCCAAGGGCTGAGTTCTCTAGATCCTAGGCAAGGGCCTGCTGCTCGGAGGAAGGCAAGCCTGACTTTACAAAGTATCACTTGGGTTGGGAAGAGGGCTTTGATACTGCTGTTGCTAATTTTTCATTTCATGAGGGCTAATATCGGTTGATAAACATGATACAGGTAAGTCAAAGAAAGTGCCCAAATGTTCAGGTTATCAGGGTCTGGCTGCTCTTTCAAGCCCCCCCCCCCTTTTTGTTTTCCCTCACACTAAGTTTTTTCGTTATTGATATTTTCGTTTTTGATATTTCCGGGGGAAAAAAAAACATAGGGGAGGGAAAGTTAACTCCCAAGTTGATCAGACACAGCCTTGATTAAGAATACCTTTCCGCCAGTGCCTCGAGGTTTTCCCAGGAGCTTAGACTGTTTCTACACAGAATCTTTGGCTCCTTACAAGTTAATTAGAAGGGTGTCCTGCACTTCCTGGTGTGGCCATCAAGGCAAATGCTTTCAAAGGAGTCCCCAGGACCCCACTTGGATAGGACCCTCTCATCCTGGCCTTAATGGCCGCCGATTATGTGGCTAATTGAGCTCACTGCTGTCTTGGCAAGTGCAGCAACTTCAATAAATCTAAACACAGCCTGCATCCCCCCAGTACCCAATTCAAGGCAAGCAGAATTGGAAGATCATCTACAAGGGGAATAAAAGTGTGTGGGGGGAGGGATGTGCTCTCTGGGACAACACTGATTCCCTACAAGGGAACTGTCAGAGGACACAGAATGAGCCTATGGGGCACCTAGTGGCACTGTGACCAACAAAGAGCCATCTTGAGTTGTTGTTTTGTTTTCACAAAAATCAGGACAGGTGACAAAACTAGCTTCACAAAACCTGCGCATGTTTTGTGAACAAAATCCGCATTTATTGCTAAAGATCCAATGATATACACCCACGCCAAAATCCAAGTGCTCCTGGTCAGCTAACAAAATGATCCCGTTGCGATTAAATCAGAAATCATTGCAGAGATAAGGAATATAGGCTAGATGAAATGTTTTAGCATATCCATCTCAAAATTCCTCCTGTGTCTACTAACCCCTAGCTTGTCAACTGTTGTGTTAGTTCACAGACAAAGCAGTCCCAGGAGCTGATAGCAGCGGCTGCCCAAGAGTGCTGAATTTAGAAATCCACTCAGGCCATTTCCAAAGGATAACCTTTTCCCACTGGGCTGGAGCCTCAAAGCATGCGCTAGAAATAGGTTTGACATTAGGGCAGCAAGAGGCAAAGCTGCCAGTTATTCCAGACCTTTCAAGGCCATGGTTACCTTTTGAGGTGCGTAGAGAACCTGCAAGTCCTGAGGTGAGAGGGGCATGCACGCAGCAGTGTCTCAGAGCATGAAAAGGTCTCTTTCCAAGGGGATGTTCATTGAGCTTTCCTCCCAGTCCCGCACAATGGAATTTGGGGGTGTTGAACTGCACTTTACTTGCATTTCAGTGTAAATTGGTTATTAAAATGTATTTAGCAGAAAGTAAGTGGAACAAAAGCTCAAGTACACAAAACCATTGGCATATTTACTTTTAAGAGATGGAAAGTTCGTTGGTTCCAGTTGTCTTAAAAATATTTCAAGAACAGTTTTTAGTTCATAAATAAAACCTTTAATGTATCTACTTGTTTTTTTTTTTCCACCTCTCAGGAAAGAGGGATAAAAAGGGAGAGAGAAGCGCTTCAGGGTGACCTACAGTAGACACTTTGGAACCAAAATGTTTGGGAACGGTGGACCCAATGAAACCAAAACAGCAAAACTGTCACCTGATCTGGTTTGGCTTTTTAAAAGCACCAGCCCAGCTTCCATTGCTCGCTTTCCACTGCCTTCTACCAAGAGTTCAAAATTACTCTCACCAGGAACCCCACTCCCTAAGATGTCCTGTCCAGCTCAGGTCCTTCCCGGCTGGAATTGAATCATGAACATGTCTAGGACTTCAAAAAGGTCAAACAAATTCTCTTGCCTTTTCCTTCCAGCACCCCTCTCATAACTTTCCCCTTTATTTGAGCCTTTTATGGTTACTGCTTTTCACGTGTCAACACTCCCAACACCAGCAGCAGCCCACCTTGCAAATGCCAGGGCAGGGCCCAGGAGGGCCTCCCTGATTTCCTCATCTTACTCGGGGAGCCTGGGAACAGCCGGGCTAGGTGACACGCTAGCCTCACTAGGCTTGGGTTTTCCTGACTGATTGTTTTAGGAAACAGACTGGCCTAGGACATTGGCGCCAAAGAACGGGAAAAGGTTCACGCCGAGAGTTCTCACACCCGCCCAGAGCCTTTCATTCGTGGCATCTACTGTTCCTGTTAAGACACTCTTGCAGTCACCACAGGGCACACAAGCGCCCCTATTATTTACTAAGAGTAAAAGGGATTGGTCGATCGTGGGCTAAGGTCCTGAGACAGAGGACCTTAGGAAGCGGTGCAGAGAGCAGTGGAGTTCCGGAGCCAGGCCTAACCTCCTCAGCAGCGCTGCCAGCGCCCACCATATCGGTGGAAAGAGATTCAGTTACTCTGGGTTGTCCCTACCAGGAGCCCCGACTTTCCCTTAGAAAAGGTGCCCCTAATTCGCCCCCTTTCAGACCCGTGCAGTAGATAGCTCAGCAGAGACAAAGCCCATGGGAAAATAAGGTTTTCAGTTGATTGGGGAGTGAGTAACGGGTGGGGAGGGAGGTGGCAGCAAAACACAAGATGCCAGTCGCCCCGGCCGCGGGCGAGGCGCAGAAGCTTCGGCGACGGCGGGAGGCAGAGCGACCTGCAGCTCGCTTTTCTCCCCGGCCTGGGGAGGGGAGCCAGGGCGCCAGGGAGCCCAGTTCGTGGGGCGGGAGGGGTGGAGTGGGGAGGGTGACTCCGGGATGGTGGCCTGAGTGGAAGAGCGTGGACCCGGGATCCAAGGTTCTTTTCTCTCCGGGGCAAAGCTGTCGGGCTGAGCGTGCCTGAGGCCGGATCCTTGGGTTGCTTCACGGACTTGTTCAATCTCTGCCGCCGACCCTCCACAAGGCTCCGCGAGCGTTCTGGGGCGCGCACTGGGAGGGTCGGGCGCCACCGGTTTCCTACGTCGGAAATGCCCCTTGCCCGATAGCAATGCGAGAGGTAGTGCTCATCACCCCTCTCCGCATTGGGGGTCTAAAGGCCGGACTGACCACGCCAGCTGCAGCCACGGTAGTCAACACTAGTTTCCACATCATGCAAACGGCGTTGTCCTTCCTCTTCATGTGATGGCGCAGCCCGGCCAGCCGAGGAGAGGTGGCAAAAAGAGCTGTGGCTGAGACGAGGTGCAGGCCTCAGCTGCAGCCTCAGTCACAGGCAGGGCCTGGGATGGGCCGTCGCGCAATCGACTCGTGGGGGTGGCTGCGGCGCAAAAGCCGGGGTCTGGAGGAGGGCGGGAATGGGAGGTGGGCCGTGCCCCGAGTTGGGGAGGGGTGGGGGCCCGGTGGGTGGGTCCAGCTAGGCCCGGGCCGTGAGCTGGGGTCCCCCCTACCGCGCCCCTACCCCCACGTGGCCCCGCGCAGCCAATGGCACAGCCCCAGGCCGGCGCCCTCGGGGCGGGAGGCGGCCCCCCGACCGGCCCAGACCCCCTCCCAACCTGAACTTCGTTTTTATAAACGTCCCGCGATGAGCTAACCTGTTGAAGGGCGGGCGGGAGGCGGGAGGCTCGCAGAGGCAGAGGGGAAGAGGGCGGGAGCGAGCACAGGAGAGAGAAAGGAGAGGAGGGAGGAGGCGCGCTGCGCCATGGTGTCCTGTGCCGGGCCAGGGCCAGGGCCAGGGCCGGGCCAGGCCGGGCCATGAGCCGCTCCGGGAACTGGGACATGGACGGGCTCCGCGGGGACGGTGGGGCCGCGGGAGCCGCCCCCGCCTCCTCTTCCTCTTCCTCTGTGGCGGCGGCGGCGGCAGCGCCGGGCCAGTGCCGTGGCTTCCTCTCCTCGCCCGTGTTCGCCGGGACACATTCGGGGCGGGCGGCAGCGGCGGCAGCGGCGGCGGCGGCAGCGGCGGCGGCCTCTGGCTTCGCCTACCCGGGAACCTCGGAGCGCACCGGCTCAGCCTCGTCGTCATCTTCGGCTGTGGTCACGGCGCGCCCGGAGGCTCCCCCAGCCAAAGAGTGCCCGGCGCCCGCCGCCGCCGCAGCGCCTCCCGGCGCTCCAGCGCTGGGCTACGGCTACCACTTCGGCAACGGCTACTACAGCTGCCGGATGTCGCACGGCGTGGGCTTACAGCAGAACGCGCTCAAGTCATCGCCGCATGCCTCCCTAGGCGGTTTCCCGGTGGAGAAGTACATGGACGTGTCGGGCCTTGCGAGCGGCAGTGTGCCGGCAAACGAGGTGCCGACGCGAGCTAAGGAAGTGTCTTTCTACCAAGGCTACACCAGTCCCTACCAGCATGTGCCGGGCTATATCGACATGGTGTCCACTTTTGGCTCCGGGGAGCCTCGGCACGAAGCGTACATCTCCATGGAAGGCTACCAGTCCTGGACGCTGGCCAACGGGTGGAACAGCCAGGTGTACTGCGCCAAGGACCAGCCCCAAGGTTCTCACTTTTGGAAGTCATCCTTTCCAGGTAGGGGCGATGGAAAGAGAAAGGGGGTGGGGGAGAGGGGACAGTTAGGGAGAGGAGGTGAAGAGCGAACCCAGAGGAGAAAAATGGATTAGAAGCATCCGCCCCTGCTTGGAAATGGGCGCCTGTGCTCCACGCCTGACCAAGGTTCACCCGGTGGAACAGTTTGTCCAGTTGGTGTGAAATCTGTAAACTCCTCCCAGGATTTAAACGGCTGCTCTCACTCCCTTTAACTGGGGCGGGCGGTACAGGTGCGGTTTCCTCGAGTTGAGAGCCTCCGTCTTCCCCCCCCCCCACCCCCTTACTCTGCTCATTCCTTCCCTGACTAAAGATGTGCGATGGGGTGGAGCCCCTATTTTGTGAGAACGTGACTGCTCCTGGGTAACCGCTAGCGCTTATTAGACCAAGCCCAGGAGCTGCAAACACAGAAATCAGAGCAATAGCAGAGTTGTGAGTTGTGTGTGTGCACACGCACAAGTGGCATTTGCAGACCCTGACCTTTTGAGTGACCCAATAACGATGCCATCAAATCATAGGCTTGTGAAGATTCTGGTTTGAGAAACCGTGATGCTCCATCAAATTGTTAGGCTTTGTTTTCAAATACAAATCATCTTTCCCTAATAACCTGTAAATACAGTGTTGGTGTAAATAATAAAATGTAAACGGTCTGGTTTGTTTATTCCCTACACCCTTACAGACCCCCACTCACGCACACACATGCGCACACAGCCCTCAGCTAGGTGTTCCAAATAGCCTGGTCTAATTTTCCCATGCTGTTGTTCGTACCAGGGGATGTGACCCTCAGTCAGCCGGACATGTGTGTCTACCGACGGGGAAGGAAGAAGAGGGTGCCCTACACCAAACTGCAGCTCAAAGAACTGGAGAACGAGTATGCCATTAACAAGTTCATTAACAAGGACAAGCGGCGGCGCATTTCGGCTGCCACAAACCTATCCGAGAGACAAGTGACCATTTGGTTTCAGAACCGAAGAGTGAAGGACAAGAAGATAGTCTCCAAGCTGAAAGACACTGTCTCCTGATGTGGGCCAGACTGGCCACAGACCGTTTTGATGCCTTCACGCGTCTCCAAAAAAACCTTTGGAAAGACTTGAATATGTATTTAAGTTCCCACGTCCCCTGCCGACGATGGCAAACTTTGTGAATTGTTTTTCTCTCTTCCCCTTATGTGGCTCTGAAACCTTTTGCTGCCCAACCAGACTTTGTAGTTCTGTGCCTTACATGTTTATTATTGATTTTGGTTTTGTCCGGGTATTTTGTTTTGTTTTGAATGTGTTCTTTTTTTTTTTTTTTCCAGTGTTCTGTTGCTCCCTCCAGGCCAGTATAAAGGACTTGAAGTATTTTTTTTTTTAAGTAATCCTCTTTCCCCCTGAATGAATTTCAAAAGTGGCATTCTGATTTAAGGATTTTATTTTATTTTTTAAAATCACTTTACATGGCCGTTTCCAGCACTGATTATCTTCATAATGCATCAAGGCAGTCACTCACGTGCTGTGATTGGGTAATTGAATCATTAGTTCTCAGCAGTTGCCCTGAGGCGAGTGCAAACAGCTCTGGGCTGCCAGGGCTCGGGGTCAGCAGGCAAGGCTGGCAGCAGGAGGCTGGAGGGACCTCTGATGGCCTTAGAAGCAGCTGCCTTTGTGAGCAGAGTTTGTATCCATATTGGAATGAAGACAATCCTTCCCAAGTCTGAGTCACTTGTGCTTCAGCTGTATGTTTTTTAACGCACCTCGTAGCATTGTACTTTTATCGCCTTTCATTTGAAAACATGTCACACAGATGCCTTCATTTTTTGAGCTCTAGAGGCAGATACTTAAAAGGTGCAACTGGTAGAATGATCCAGGGGTGGTATCGGTGCCCCTCCCCCGCCTCTCCTTGGCCTTGGAGTTGTTCGGGTGGGATTGTGGCCATCTCAGTCCCTCCAAAGCAGGCCGTATCACTGCGGCCATGGGTAGAAACTTTTGTCTAGGACCCGGTGAAGAACTTGTGTGTCTAACGCATTCGGCCTCTTACGGAGCTTTAAAACAACAAATGCAAAATAATGTGGCACTCTACAGCCCACTGGGGGGAAAAATGTTTCTGAAAGTGAAAAGCAGCTCCTTTTAAAGTGCTGCATATTTATACACCTGAGAGATTATTTTTGTAGATGCAATGTCTGTGAGCTGGGATGGGGGCAGGGCTTCAGGCATTTAAAAATCACTTTTTACTCCTAGGGAGATGCAAATAAATAGAACTGTCTCACTGGTTTCCTCTGAGTCTTTATGGATTTGTACTTTTTTTTCCCTCAAGCTTATATTGCCTCCAGAAACTCTTATTTATTATGAAAGCTTGCTATCCCAACCATTCTGATGAAGGATACACACCCTCATTTCTGCTTCCCCAAACCGCCCTGTTCTCTACTTCTGCCCCCATCTCTCTATGGTGAATTGAACACAAATATTGATGTTTTCAAATGAGGATATGATTTGTGGTGTCTAAAAAGATCTTTTCATCAGACCAGATTTTTAAAAACTCCAATAAAATTTTACTTCTTTTTCAACATCGTCAACCTAGTTTAATAGTTGTTTTTATCTTTTAAAAAATTGGTGCAGATATCTGTGCACCTAGGTTAGGAAAACTTATTTATTTGTAAGTTTTCAACCTGGAAAGGCCATCCTAATTACTTTCCCTAGGAAGCTGTTGAAATTATAAAGACACATCCATATTTGGCAATCAGAAAAGAAACACTTCAGGCTTATCCCACGGCGTCTTTCCTAAGCAGTCGGCACATAGCGGCTGACATCTGAAAACAAAATAATACGCCCTAAAGCGTTGGACACTTTTCAGGCACTAGGAACTTTGCTTTGAAGCCTTTTTAGCATACAGGGAAATGGCGCGAAAGAACTGTGGCGTCCATGGTGCCTAGCCCCTGCACTGTCCATTCACTGGTTGGTAGCTTCTGGATAAGAGAGTCAAATAAGTGTGATTTTGAAAAAGCTCCCCAAACCATCAGCTATTGCGGCGGGAGGGCTCCCCCTTGGCTGCTCGGGCGAAAGCGCGAAGAACGCAGGGTTGAGGGGGAGTACTTTCGTTTTCTCGGGCCCAGCTGGGGCTCTTCCACGACTCTCAGTGGACTGCGTGGACCCAACTCAATTGATAGAGACAGAGGCGCAGACACAGAGAGAAAAAAAAGTTGCCTGTGCCCCATTTTTTGGCGAATAAAACCATCCCTGGAGATGAGTGCCACGCGCCTCAACCCCCATCCCCCCGCTTGGAGAAGGGGCACTCTTTTCGCTCTTGTTCCTCGGGATGTGTGTTTGCACCAGAATCAGCCCGCAGCTGCCATCATCATCATCATCATCATCATCATCGCAACTTTTGACTCTGGGTCCGTTTCTGAGGTTTCCAGCCCAGGCACAGAGTGCTTCGAGGTTCCCCTTTCATCTGCGACTTCGAGTCAGTTTCCCTCCGCCCCGAGAAAGGGGAGGCTGGCTGGAAGATTAAAATTGTGCTCATACACTTGCTGGTGGAATTTGGGTTGACGGGTAAATCAATAACAGATGAAGGCTTTGTTATTTATATGCGCTCCTTTTATATTCTGAGTCCCGGAGGGAGGAGAGGAGTCAGGCGGTGGTGTTGGAGAGGCTCGCGGGGAGCCCTGAAGGATAAGGGGGCTTGGAGGTGAGCGTGCAGAGGTCCTTCGGGCTGGAGCCTCAAAGGCAGGAGGGAGGGCTCCTCGGAAACCCGCAAGTTCTGGTAGGGCAGTGCGGGGCGGGAGGTTGTTTTTTTGTTTGTTTGTTGTTGTTGGTTTTACCGAGGTGGATAGGGCACCGAGACTCGCCTTGTCTTCGCCGGATTCAAAGAGACGCAGAAAGCCTTGAAGCTGGGAAAGAGAGCCAGACAAAGGGGCGATCACAAAGCTTTACCCTGTCTAGGAGCCCGCTGGCTCCCTGGGCTCGGCGGTCAGGGGCAACCCGGCCGCCACAACCTCCGCGCTCTGCAGCGCCGGGAGGTGGGCCGTGACCGCGCCCGCTGGCGACCCCAGGCCGCCCTTCGCTGTTGATCTTGACCGTGCGGCGGCGCCTCGCCAGGCGTGGAGCGCGCTCGCCATCTCCTGGGCGGTCGGCGCCATTGGCAGAGCTCCGTGGTAAACTCGGCCCTATCTTCCTTTCCCACTTGGGCTCACCCGCCATGCCTCCTTTCCGCCTCCCTCCCTCCTTCCGGGTCCCTGCTCCCAGTTCCCCACACACGTCTTTGCCTGCCAGACCTCGAAAGTCATAAACCCAGAGGGTGACGTGGGGTGGCTAGGCAGGGAGCAACGGAGGGATTCTAGCTGCTCTGGATTTTTCTGTTGCTCCTGTAGTGGGTTCGTGACTTGAAGCCCTGAGAGGCAAAGGGCCGCTATAAGTCTGGGGTTCAAGAAAGATGCCCACCTTGGCTTTAAGGGCGCCGGGGATTCGCGGTGCAACAGAGAAGGTAATTTCCAGCCTTAAGAGAACTCCCACCAAATGGGAGCTACCAGGGACCTATGGCCCGATTGGTCGGTGACTCTGGGCCCTGGGGTTACAGTTTGTGCCTGTACCCACTTCGCATGAGATGTCCGGGAACACGGGCATCTCCTAAGAAGACTGGAAGAGCCCGAGGAACACCGGGCTTCCCCACCCCCACCCCTGGCCCCCGCCTCAGAGAGGGAGGAAGAGGCTGATTGCATTCCCCAGAGCCGCCCAATTGGTCGCCATAACTCACACAATAAAGTCACAGCGCGGTGGTCAGCCTTGCCCTCCGGCGGCGCCTGTGTGGTCTCGGTGCCGGAGCTGGCGGTCTAACCAATTCCATCTTGGCTGGGCAACCGAGAGGCCTGCTGCAGGCGGGGGCGGACGCCTGTCACCGGATCTTTGGGGGTCGAAGGAAGAAGGGGAGGACCCTTATTCCTCAGGTCAGACTAGATGAGAGGACCTGCGGGGCTGCTACGCATCCTGTTCCTTGCAAGCGGCTGCCGCCCCGTCCACCCTCTGTGTTCGCCAAGCCCGTCACCAAGCGGCCGGCGCGCCAGGAGGGTCCAAGGCAAGGGACGCTGGTAGTCGGCCGCCTTCACGCTCCTGCTTGTCTGTGTGGCTTGTGGCCTCCGGCTATTGTGCCTTTCCACACGCAGTTGAGGCCATTTGCTCATTTGCTGTTTTGCTGGCCCCGGCGTGGGTGTCTACGTTGCAATTCTGCTTTTGCAGGGTCTGCTGACAAATGTGATCCTGGAGACAAAAGGAACGGAACGTAGCCTGTAGCCGTGGCTGGCGGATGGAGTTGCGGGGTTCCCAGGTCTGCGGTTTCCCTAGGACCTGGGTGGTAACTTCCCTAAGGAGCAAGGCGACTCAGACACATCAAGAATGGAGTGAAACTTCCTTCCTGGGCACCAGACTGCGGACACCTTGGGAGAGTCTCTCTCTCTCTCTCTCTCTCTCTCTCCCTCCCTCCCCCCCACCCCCCCAACCTCCCCAACCCTCCCCCCCAAGCTTTTGGGAAACACTTGGGGCTTTTACTGCCTGGAGGACCCAGGGAAAGACTGGAACCAGATTTCTCCAGGAGGAATTGGGGGGTAGGAATGGCATTGCTCAGGCCCAGGGACAGAGCTGTTGGTGGCCCTTCCAGACTGTATCTTCTCTGGACAAAACGAAGAGAGGCGCCTGCTCCTGGAAAATGTCTCAGGTACAACTTAAAGCTGGCAGAAGCAGTCCGGCTCCAGGTAGCCTGTGGAAAACCGGGTCCCAAAGCCAAGCAAGACCTGGAAAGGTCCCATGGGACTCCCAGACAAGGACATCCTCTGCCCAATGCTCCCAGCTCCTGGAGCCAGGCCTGGCCGCACGCAGCCTTTGCCTTTCCTCAGCACGTCTTGGCCCCGCTAGCCCTGGTCCTTCATCCTTCACCATCGAACATTGCGGGTGTTATCATAATACCCTGAAGGGGGGGAACGGGCCGGGGGATGTAGGCGGTGCTGAAATGACCGGCTTTGAAGAACCTGCAGGCAAAGTTTCGTCCAATCGCCTGAGCC